CCCCCCCCCCCCCCCCTCCGCCGTCAGAATTGGCTTGGGCACGACGTGCACGAAGCCCACCACGACAAGCCGTTCTACCACGTCTGCGTGGACCCTCCGGATCTCGTGGCCGGCTGGACGCTGGCGGCGGCGTGCGTGTTCAAGCTCCTGCTGCCCCTGCCCCTGGCGATCACCGTCCTCGTGGTGTACATGTCCATGGGTCTCGTCTACGAATGGGTGCACTTCATCGTCCACACCAGGTGTGGCGGTTATGTTTTGGGTGCCTTGGGCTGTTGAGACCATCGCACGCGCGTCCTCGAGAAGGGCGGAGTTTTTTTTCTCCCGCAGGAACGATTTCCGATGATGACCAATCGTTCCTTCCTGCTCTGCATCAAGTGGAGTGTGTTTTTTGTCCTGGTGTTTGTGTGTTGTCTACCCCTCTTGCCACCTGGCGCTAGGGTGCCACGGGGTTGTCTAGCCTTGTGTTGTTGTGATGGTTGGCCTTTACGTTGTTGTACGTGTTTGGGGGGGGAGGTGTCGAAGTTCGGAAGAAGCCGGGGTGTCTGTGGTTGCCGCCGCAAAAGCTTGCGTTCAGGACAGCATGACCCGACCGCTGGCGAATCATTTAGTTTGTCAAAACAGAGCCCTGTTCTTCAGCGCGTGGAGAGGGATGACCGCACCGCACTCACCCACCACCTTCTCCCTCCCTCCTTGCTGATTCGGATGTGTTGCTCTTTTTTGTTCCGCTCGGGACAAAACCCCTGTACACCCAAAACCACACATCGACTCCCATCTGTGGACGAAAAACAACGTCGACGATTTCTCCGTGACAAATGAAAAAAAAAACGGCAGGGTAGTGCCCCGGTCACAGCTGGGGAAGGACCTGAAGCGGCACCACATGCTCCATCACCTCAAGGACGATACGTGCTGGCTCGCCTTCACGGCACCCCCGATCGACACCCTCTTCGGTACTGTGCCATCATCGTCGCCGGAACAACAACAACAACGACAACAGCAGCAACAGCAACGGCGGCGGCGGCGGCGACCTTCTTCAGCAACCACTGGCGCCGATGTTGGTGCTGTCGCTGGACGTGGGGATGATTGGGCAACAACAAGAAGGGGGGACGCAGCGTGACAGTCTTTCTTTTTTGGGGGTCCGTTGATGACGCGCGGTTGCTCGGGATACGTCAGGCTCGCGCCGCCCTCTGACAGGCGGCGGTGATTGTATCGTGTATTCCATCTACGATTCGCATGCCGGCTTACTACAATGTCGTGTTAGGGCACCGGCCGCGTTGTTGGATGTATGATTGCGTGCCAGCGGCTACTTCCGAAGATCAACCGCTACTGGAGGTTTTGTGTTTGTGTCTGTATCGTTTGGCCCCACGTCCAGACACCAGCGGTATCGCAACCCGGTAGCGGAGGAAGATTTCGCCGAGCAATGAATGGCGGGCGGACAACTGGAGTTTTCATTGCAGGGGGATGGGGTCATCGCGCTGTTCTTCTGCCATCGTGCGCAGGCGTGATGACGCGCCGGGTGAAACGGTTTATATTGATTTCGGTGTTGTACAGTTGCACCTTTTCTTATGTGTGGTTGTTTGTACGTTCGGTTTTGGGTGTTGATACTTTGCTGCGTTTGTAAGGAGAGTGTACACGCAAAAATCATCGAAATACGAAGTTGTCGTGGATGGCGGGGGGGGG